TATATACAATCTAAGTCTTGACTACTACACAATAGCATAAAGGTAATTTTACATAAAACTCTGCAGAGACACATGATTATGGAAACTCCAATATAAGATGCCTTTCTCTGCAAGTCTCGTATCTTCTTCTTCTCCGCTCCAATACTCCCCCTCAAGTTGGAGCATGAAGATCACAAATGCCCAACTTGCTACATAGATAATGGAATTGTTGGACACCTAAACCTTTAGTAAAAATATCCGCCATTTGTTCAGATGTGTGGATCTTCATTATTTGAAGTTTACCATCTGTAATCTCATCTCGAACAAAATGACAATCGTTTTCCACGTGCTTCGTCCTTTCGTGGAACACCGGGTTCTTTGCTATATGCAACGCAGCTTGGTTGTCACAATACAACTTGATAGGACCATCATGTGTAATGCCAAAACACGCCAATAGCTCACGATTCCATTTTAATTCTGACACTGTATCCGCCATCGCCCGATACTCCGCCTCCGCCGATGATCTAGAGACAACTCTTTGCTTTTTAGTTTTCCAAGCGATAGGTGAATCACCTAACATAACCACGAATCCAGTCAATGATCTCCTCGTCATGGCACATGATGCCCAGTCCGCATCGCAATATGCTGAAATATGTAAGTCATCCTTCGAAGTTAGTAAGATACCCTGACCCGGACTACTCTTAAGATACCTTACAACACGCAATGCTCCAAACCAATGCTTTCGTTGTGGTCGGTGCATGAACTGAGCCAAAATATGAACGATATAAGATAACTCTGGTCTAGTAATTGTAAGATAACCCAGGCGTCCCACTAATCTTCTATACCCCACAAGATTATCAAACAAATCATCTCCATCCGCAGTCAGATCATGGTGTTGCTCCACTGGTGTCGTAACTGGTCGTCCTCCCAATAACCCACACTCTGCAAGTATATCACAAGTATATTTGCGTTGAGATAAGTATATCCCTTGTGGAGAACGAGCCACTTCCAAACCCATAAAATATTTCAGATATCCCAAGTCCTTCATACGAAAGCACTGCCCCAAGTATGCTTTGAACCGGGTAACAGCTTCCTTATCATTTCCTCCTATCACCAAATCATCCACGTATACAATTACATAAACTTGGAGTGCCCCACGTTTCAAAGAGAACAAGGAGTAGTCTTGTTTATGTTGAGTGAAACCGTACTCTTTCAAGGCTCCCGTAAGCTTGCTAAACCAGCACCTAGGAGATTGTTTCAAACCATAGATAGATTTTCGAAGCTTACATACTTTGTTGCCGTCTCCACTGCGAAACCCCGGTGGAAGTTTCATATAGACCTCCTCTTCTAAATCCCCATGCAAAAATGCATTGTGCACATCCATTTGGTGAACTTCCCAATTCTTGGCCGATGCAACCTTAAGGAATGTCCTAATCATAGTCATCTTGACCACGGTTACCCAGAGCTACCAGTCTTGCCTTATATCTCTCAATCGTCCCATCTGAGTTGAATTTGATGGTAAATACCCAACGACATCCTATGGCTCTCTTTCCAGGAGGCAACTCAGTAATATCCCATGTTCGATTGATTTCCAAAGCATCAATTTCTATCGTCACTGCATTTCTCCATTTCTCATCTTGTATTGCTTCATTGTAGCTCTGTGGAGCCACGTTAGCTGTAATTGCTGCAAGGAAAGCCTGATGTGCATCCGAGAAACGTTTACAGTTAACGTAGTTTGCAATTGGATAAGGAGTCATACCTGTAGACGACGTGTCTGGTTGCAGAGAGGAACGTGATGGGTTCACAACCTGAGCCGTATAGACTACGTAATCTCTTAATTTTGTAGACGGTCGTCTCTCTCTCTGACCTCTACCTAACTCTTGTGATGCTATGATCTGATCAATAATTTGTTCCTCCTCTGTTTGATCCAGAGCATTATCCAAGTCGGGTTCATTCACAACTTCTAGCTCCTGGGAACTTTCTTCACTCATATTCATCTTTTTTTTCAAGAGGCAAAGATCTCAGAACTTCTATAGTGGGATTTGTATCATCTTCTACAAATGGAAGAGTCTGAGACGGTGACTCCTCTGTTTCAGTCGTATCACTTGTCTTGAAGGGAAAACTATTCTCATGAAACACTATGTCACGTGTGATGAAGAACTCTCCCATCTCTAAATCATATACTTGCCATCCTTTCTTTCCAAATGGATACCCCGTGAATACACACTTCCTACTTCTCATTGCGAATTTGTCCTTGTCTCTGTTGCTTTTATGTGTGTAACACAAACATCCCAGTACTTTCAAACTCTCAAGCGTTGGAGCTTTTCCAAACAACATCTCGTACGGTGTCTTTCCTTCTAGCAGTGGAGTCGGTGTTCTGTTAATAAGGTGGCTTGCAGCGAGAACACATTCTCCCCAGAACTTGATCGAAAAGCCTGCTTGAAACATCAAAGCACGAGCCACATTCAGGATGTGTCTATGTGTTCTCTCTACTCGACCATTTTGCTGAGGCGTTCCAACACAAGAGGTCTGATGTAAAATCCCTTCTTTCGCAAAAAAAGTCCGCATACACATAAACTCTGTACCGTTGTCACTTCTGACCATTTTTATTCTCTTTCCGAACTGCCTCTCTACCATCGAACAAAAATTCTGTAATATCATGTTCACCTCACGTTTTTCACTCATCAGGAATATCCACACTGCTCGTGAATAATCATCCACAACCGTTCAGAAATAACTTGCTCCTGAAGACGAGGGAGTTCTATACGGTCCCTAAACATCACAATGAATCAAATCAAAACTCGCTTCTACTTTATTATTACTTTCATAAAAAGAATCTCTGGTTTGTTTAGCTCTAAAACAAGTGTCACACACCATCTCAATCTCTTGTGACTTATTCATACTAATAGAATGCGATAAAAGAGATAAAACACGATCTGATGGATGACCCAAACGACGATGCCACAAGGCTCTTGTACCAGCACCTGCAGTAGTCTTATGCGCCATTCCTCCTATCGCTCCTTTGAAAATGTAGACCCCATCACGTTCTTCACCCGCACCAATCACCGTCATCTTGGTATGATCCTGCATTACACATAAATCAGATGTGAATGTTATTGAGGATCCTTTTATAAGCTTCAATAATTTCGCCACAGAGATCAATGAACACTTTAAATTTGGAGCATAAAGTACTCCTCTCAGCCACATATCACCACCAAGAAAAATATCACCCTGCTTTGTCGCAATAGTATGATCTCCGTCGGGTAATCCAATCGTACAAGGTATAATATCTATTGTATTCACCAAATAGTCTAAATTCCAAGTCATATGGTGAGATGCTCCAGTGTCTATGATAAACTCAATTAATTCATGTTTACCATTAAGTTTCTCACTCTGATCGGTACGTAGTGTATTGAGCAGACTCATTAATGTCTTCCATTGTTCGTCACTCAGTTGTGGTACTTAGTTACGATCATTTTCTCCCTCTCTCCTGGTTGCATGAGCTGCTGTTCCCTTGTGTGGTGGAATCACCTGAGCTGCATTTGACGTCACCCCTGCAGCCGCATTTTCTCGCTGCGAGAAGCCTCGCCCTCTGCCATAGCTACCCACTGCTCCTCCACCACGTCCTCTTCCTCTAGTTCCTCCTCTCATGCTACCTCGACCTCTTTCTCCCCACCAATCTGGATAACCCTTGAGCTGATAGCAATCAGTAACGTCATGTCCGGTCTTTCCACAGTGTGAACAGAGTTGGTGCTCTGTTTCCCGATGAAAGCTTGTCATGCTTCTGTTTTTCGTATTGGTTTGCACTGAGAATCCTACAGCTTCTGGTTTCTCGTCTCTGTTCCGCGAAATTGACTGCTGTCTTTCTTCCCTCACAATTCTCTGATAAACCTGAGACAATTTTGGAAGTGGTTCAACACTCGTTATTGTTGATCGGACTGTCCCGAATCTCACGCTGTCTAGGCCCATCAAGAACTCGTGTGTTCTGTCTTCCTCTTGGTCTTGTTGAAGCAGCGCTGCAATCTCTCCGCACGTACAAGTACGAATTGGCTTGTATATTGCCAATTCATCCCACATCTTCTTAAGTCTTCCATAGTAAGCCGTGAATGTATCTCCTTGCTGCTTACAACATGCAATATCAGCCTTCAACTCATGAACTCGCACACCATTTCCTGCAGAAAACTGGAGTTTCAGATCCTCCCAGAGTATACTTGCGTCTTCCACCATTGAGATCGTTGTTCTGATCGTTGGCTCAATGGTATTCATTATCCACGCTACTATCATAGCATTCACTACTTCCCATTGTTCTATATCTTCTTCTGATGTTGGTTTCTTCAGAGTTCCATCGATGAAGCCCAACTTTCTTTCCGTTCTCAGTGCGTTCCGCACGTGCTTTGCCCATTCTTCATAGTTCTCCCCCTTAAGTTGAACCGTTGTGATGAGATTTCCAGGTCCATCCGAAGCATGGAGATAGTATGGAGAAAGCATCGCTTTCATTCGTATCAGTTCTGTCTCGCTCTTCGTCTCCGTCGTGATACTCATGTCAAATTTTGGATCAAGGAATTTCTAGGGTTTTTTTTTCTTAAGGCTCTGATACCATAATAAACTTTGTATTCAATCTCTCACACTTACTCCAATACATGACTACGGTTATATACAATCTAAGTCTTGACTACTACACAATAGCATAAAGGTAACTTTACATAAAACTCTGCAGAGACACATGATTATGGAAACTCCAATATAAGATGCCTTTCTCTGCAAGTCTCGTATCTTCTTCTTCTCCGCTCCAATACTACGCCATCATTCAACATCTCCATCCCTATCATATATGATATATCTATGACCAATTTATGATCATAAAAAATGAAGCAAACATAAGATTTCATGCCAGCTTACAGCTCTATACCTAAAGCACAGTATTTGATCTCGAAATGTTATCTGAAATTCTTAAACGAACAAGTTAGCAATGGTAATAAGTATTGACTACAAATCATTACTGTATGATAAGAAACTAATGACTAGCTTTCTAAACAGTAAAGCTCAGAGACAAACTCTTGAGGCGTGTACAACAATTTGGAAGTTTTAAGAGTTTCACCATATGCCGCAATGAGCAATGCTTCAGCTCGACCATGATCTTTTTTTCTCTTGAGTTGCGAACTAAGCAAAGGAAACAAGTCCGATGCAATTCGTCTACTATCATCCTGTAACCCAAAGAAAAACATTGGTTTGAAGTGAGATTGCTTTTAAATAATAAAACTTTCCACAATTAAAAATTAATCACCTTTGTGCAGTTTCCACTAGCAAGTTGAAAATGCCTCTTCCACAAGGCTGAAGAAACAGGAACAACAGAAAAGCTGACGTAAAAAGTGTTCCTATCCAAAATCCAAATCCTCCCCTATACCAACCCTAAGACATAGAAATCACACAGTCATGTACGAAACAAATATCAAAATCAGAGAAAAGTTAGTGTTATTGACCTGTTTCCCATCTTTAGGAAAGGGAGTTGATTGCTCTATATATGCCGTACTTCCTGCATTGTGTAACACAAGTTGCTTCTAAATATTATAAGCCAAAAAACCAAACAACATTGTGAAACATCCCTTCTTACCAGAGGGTATTTCTAAACTTCGAATCAACTGAACTATTGACTTTGCATCCAAACGTTTCCGCACTCTTTTTCCAACTAAAACCGGCAGGTGAGGAGTATCAAAGACCTAAATCCAAACACAATCGACTTTGGTTAACAATTCTCGGATTCTATTTCAAAAAAAAGACGAACTATTAAACTCACAACTCTGAAATTCTCATTTACAGAGATTTAATCAGACCAACACAATTCTGAAATTTCCAAGTGGTCGAGTTTAGCCTCGCAGGGAGACTGACCTGGGCTTCAGAAGAACCCAAGACGTGGTTAACTTTCAAGAGAGCCAAAGCACCGGACAAGTCTGGGTCTACCCCAATTACATAACTCGACTCGGTATTCCCCCGAGTCACCACGTGTTCTTCTGGTGGGGGAAGAGTGAGAGACTCCAACCATTTCTCTTTCATCAACGCTGCGTCGATAGCTTTCGTCTTTGTAGGAAGAGCGCTAAACGCGAGACCCCGCCGCCGCCCGAACGGAGCAATGAAAAACGACGTCGAGTGAGAAAGGAGAGGTCGGAGCTTAGGGAGGAGACTAAACATCGGAGGCTGTGACTCCGTAGGCATTACATGAGAATGTACCCTCAAACAATGCTAAAATTGTCTATTTCAACCAGCGCATGTTCCTTTCCGAGCTTTACACTAGTGGGTATTCTTCACTAAACTAATCAAAAATATAAAAATACTACATGAACTTTATGTGTTATGCATTTTCATTTCCGAACTTTATAATAATACATATTCCATACTGAACTTAACAAAAATTCAAAAATACTACATGAACTCTCAAAATCGTGTTTATATATAAACTGACTCTAAAAAATATTATTCATCCATTAATTATCAAAACGATGTTATTTTGGATAAATTCTGTAAAATTAAAAATTAAAAAATATTATATGAACTGTCAAAATTGTGATTATATATATTTATATCAACCATCAAAGATGTTAGTCATCCAGTAATTATCAAAATGACGTCAAAATTTTTTAAAATTAAAATTTATTTGTTACGAGGTTCGAATTTTTACACTGATGGACAAGTAAGAGCATATTAACTGTTAGTACAAAGTAACTTTCTTGTACTTATATATATATTTATATGGACCATCAAATATTTTAGTCATTCGTTAATTTTCAAAATGACGTCAAATTTTGTAAAACTAAAAATTATTTTTTGCGAGGTTCGAACTCTCACACTGGTGGACAAGTACGAGCATATTAACTGTTAGAACAAAGTAAATTTCTTATATAAATAAGTAACAATAAAAGTTTGATAAAATTTATTGATTAAAGTAAAACTTATATATAAATTAATGTTTACACAAGTGTACATTAATTTTATATAAAATTTATTGATTAAAGTAAAACTTATATTATTAATGTTTACGCAGGTGAACATTAATTTTACTTTATTTTTTTCTTTTACTTGTCCACCAGTGTGAAAGTTCAAACCTCGCAAAAAATAATTTTTAATTTTACAGAATTTACCCAAAATGATGTTGTTTTGATAATTAATGGATGAATAATATTTTTTATGGTCAATTTATATATAAGCACGATTTGGAGAGTTCATGTAGTATTTTTGATTTTTTGTTAAGTTCTGTATGGAATATACATTACTATAAAGTTCGGGAATGAAAATGCACAACGCATAAAGTTCAAATAGTATTTTTATATTTTTGATTAGTTCAGTAAGGAATACGCACTACTATAAAGTTCGGGAAGGAATAGGCACGATGGGTAAAGTTCAGCTTGAAATAGGCGCTTTTCCCAGCAAATTAGACGACCCCTTTAAAAAATTTGATCAAAAAAAAAATTAATGCTTGCAAGTTGAACCAAAAAAAATAGGGCAAATCTTAAAAATAACATATTTTTAATTTTATATCATAAAAATATCTTTCAAAAACTAAAATGACCAAAATAACATTTTATCTTTTAATTTTTTTTTAAATATTTATTTTTCAAAAATTGAAATCTTATCCCAAAACTCAACTCCACTCCCTAACTCTAAATCCTAAAATCTAAATCTAAACTAAACTCTAAACCCTGATATATAAACATTAAGTATTATTTTGGTCATTTTTATTTTTAAATTCTATATTTTTGACAAAAAAAATTTTAGTGATATCCTAATTATTTTCTCAAAAAGAAATAAGAAAAAAAAGCTATGCTTACCGCTTGCGGGTTGCGTCGATTCTTGTATCTATACTGCTAAAAGGTAGGAATCCTAAACAAAATCTACTTCTACAAAAAATTTTAAGGTTTCTCTTGTATATTATAACTTTAGCATGTGACAGATATTCACCCTATATATGATTCCGATTTTTACTCTAAGTATAAAAATTGGAACATTATTATAGATTTTAACAATTTAAATCGATTAGTAAACCATCATATACCAAAACAACCCTAATATCACTGCAACGATGAAAATCTTATATAAGCCCATCTCTCACAAAAAATAAAACCTATTCATAGAAAAAAAAAAAAAAACTATCAAAGTGGTTCATGCACCCTATTTTATGAAATCATTGCAATATACATGGCAAACTCATAAAAAGGTATTACATTTTCATTAGGGAAGTTAACACAAATATTATGAATTTTATTACTTATTATCACAACCATACAAAACTTTTTTTATTACTACTTTTTTTTTAATATCCAGCGTGCCCTTTTTTACGTTGTGAGAAAAAATATATTTACAAGAATGCCATTACTTTTTTGTGCCACGTAGGCAAAAAATCGGCTCCACGTAAGAATGCGGCATAAAACTCAGCCGCAATACGATATGAACTTTGTTACCCGAGATATAGGTGCGTTGCGGCTGACTTAAATAATCTAGCTGACTTATGAGAATTAAGTTGAGTTATGAACATAACTCAGTCGATCGTTACGGCTGTCTTAAAAAAATCTGGCTGGTTTATGTGATAACGGCTGAGTTACGGTCATATATTACGACTGACTTATACATCTTTAGGCTGGTTTCTGAAAAATCCGGCTGATATCTAGTTACCATACGGCTGAGTTAACTATCGCGGTTGGTTAATTGATCGTCGACCAGCCGAGTTATGAGATGTTTTTACAGCTGAGTTATATTTAATCAGTCGTAGGAAAGTGGAGTAACAGTAAACTCAGCTGATTTACGGCTGACTTTTTAGCGAAAGATTAATTACTAGAATAGCATTCATTTGCCGGCTGGTTTATTTAACGATACAGCTGACTTCTTGCGTTTTATCTTTGTTATGGCTGATTGTTAACAAAAAGTTAATTACTAAAATAGTATTCACGTTTTGACTGACTTACGGTGTATTAAGTGGCTGACTTAAATGTTCGTTTGGTGGCTGAATTACTGATTTTCCATGTCATCATCCATGTCAGCTTTTATTTTCCATGTCATTACTAACTACAACAACGAAATTAGGGTTTATGTTACCGACGCCGCTATATGTTCTTCACCTTCTTCTCTTTCTCTAAAATCTTATGGATCCAGTAATTATTGTTTCAGGTAACTGGATTAAGAAAAACAGATATGTATTCACACCCGACAGTAGAGGATGTATTGTTCTGCATGCAGATGAGAAAACAACACACGACGAACTCGCAAAGTCAGTACTCGATGATTACGGATTGAATGAGTCGAGCCATCAGATTCAGCTAAGCTACCAGTTCTCGGATAAAGCTTTGAAAACAATGGCTCACGACACGCCACCAGTTTACATCTCCAATACTCGTCAATTGCAAATATTTTTAAGCCTAAGGAAAACCGAAAAATTATGTCTCTGTGTAGAGATTACAGAGAACGAGGATGATGAGATCAGCCGGAAAGACGGAGCGGGAGAGAAGAGTATTATATTATACAGTTTCAGCTCAGAAGCAGAAGTCTCAGAAGTTGAATCTAGATACGATGGTTTTAGTTTGGAGGAGGAACAGAACGACAATGAGAATATCTTGGACGGAGAAAAACAGAAAGATGTTGGAGAAGATGAAGAAGGCGAAGAAGACAGTGAATTTGATAGCGGATTTGATATGTTTGACGACTCAGATGGTGCGTCATCCGAAGATGATAACTTTAGCTCATATGGTGAGTCTCCAGCACAAGACGAAGATTCACCGCCACTACCGCCTAAAAAGAGATCTCAGTCGACTGAAACTTCTTACAATTGGACCGGATCTAAGGGGGATTCAGAGGTTCTAAGGTTGGAGATGTCTTCGCTAAACCTTGCTGTTGGGCAACAATACCAGAGTAAAGCTGAGTTCTAAGGTTGGAGATGTCTCAATAAACAGTTTGGTCTCAAGGTAATTGTTGTAGTAAGGCTGACTTATATCAACGTTACAGCTGAGTTATATCTACAGTTTGTGGCTGACTTATATTAACATCCGGCTGTGCTAGTTAAGTGATAGGCTGAGTTATATAAACATCGAACTATGCGGCTGAGTTAGTTGAATTATCTGGCTGGTTTATTTAAACTTCAATATTTCGGCTGAGTTTGTTAAGTATATGGGCTGGGTTATGTATACGTTACGACTGAGTTATTTAAGTTATCCGACTGAGTTATTTATACGTTCAAGCTGAGTTACTTAAGTGATTTGGCTGAGTTATTATTTGTATTCATTTGGGCAGATGGATTATTGGAAATCATATAAGACTCTGAAATTTGCAAGGGAAATCGATATGGGAACACCTGAGAGTGGTTTTGAAAACTTGCCTTCTTACTTATTCATGA